CGGCACCCGCCCTCCGCGCCCCAGCGCCCCATCACCGGGAGGGGGCGGCAGCCGACCGCAGGATCCCCACCCCGAGGCCGGCGGGGCCCGCCTGCCACCCAACCGCTTTTGCTTCGGGAACAAAACAAGGGGGCGCGCACGTCTAAAGTCACCCCGGGGCGGACGAAATGACTATCTACGAGCCTTGCGGGGCGCCACCCCCTTCCCGGGGCGCCTCCCTTCTTCCCCCTCCCCTCCAGGACAGGCCTGGCATGGGACGGGCGAGAGAGAGGCCACGCTCCCCTAGACCCCGGGGTTCCGATGGCGATTTCCCTCCCCTCCTCCTGCGCCTGGATCCCGGCCTGGGCGCCGGGCGCCACCCGCGGCCTGCGGGACCTCGGGGAGCCTTGGGGAGCTTGGTTTTCCCAGACCCCAGTGCGCGCCGCGTTCCGTTAGTGCGCCTCCAAGTGTCCACCCGGTTTGGCCAGCCCGGGGAGCCATCCGGTCCTGTCCCCAGCCTGGCCGGGCGTGGACCCCGGCGGCTGTTGAGCCGGGAGCGTGGGCTGGGCGGGAGAGCACGGCCCGGGCCCCCGCGCGCTTCCCGCTCTTCGTGCTGCGTTCCCGGGGGGCGGGGGGAAGCAGCTCCTGGGGTGCGGGCCGGGGGAGACCTCCGCTCCCGGGTCATCACCCCCACCACCACCCCGGAGCGGGGCCCGGAGCGCCCCCGTGGAGACCCCCTTTCGGCCTCAGATCCAGCCTGGGCGCACAGTAACACGAGTCCAGGATATGGGCGGAGGAAAGCCCCAGAGGAAAGCTTTGATTGATTCCGGCTAATTAGAGCTGATCGTAAAAACAACAAGAAGTAAAGGTCTTGGAGTCCTAGAGACACTCACTTTATAGACTTTGGGGAATCTTCAGGTTGGGGGTGACCTGGGATGAGAAAACCCGAGCTGCTGTCAAAGACTAACAACTCCATGAACACCTTAACGCACCAGGACCCCGGGGGCCGGACAGGCGCAAGGGTCTTAACGCACCAGGACCCCGAGGGCCGGTCAGGCGCGTAGGTTAGTTTTTAAAGTACCCGATCCCGCCCTCCTTCGCTTTTCTCCACCAGCAACACATCCACAGACACCCTGGACGGCGCTCAAGAAACACGCGAGGTTCGCCCATGCCCTCGGGGTAGGACTGGCGTGGAATCCCACGGTGCCCGGTGGCTGGGAGCGCGAGGAGGGGCGATCCCGCGTGTGGCTACGATCTAGGGGACCTCGAGGGTCTGGACCTGGTGTGTGTGTGTGTGTGTGTGTGTGTGTGTGTGTGTGTGTGTGTGTGTGTATCCCCGGCTGCCCCGCCCTCGCCTGCCCGGGTACCACCATCACCACCCCAGTCAGATCTACCGAGCACAAAGCACACTTTTTTAAGGGACTCGTCCCCCCCCCCTCTCCCCTCCTGCCCCGGTGGCACAGAACGAGGCTGGAGTCCGCGCTGGTGGCCCGAAACTGGGGGACCCGGCCTCGCCATCCACGACGGAAGGTACCCGCGTTTCTCCTCCATCTCCTCCGCTCTGCCCATAGAATTACTTACAGCCCCAAAGGAACAGATGTCCCCCCCACACCGATCGGAGTGTGGCCTCGGGCACACACTCAGAGGTGCGTCCGCTAAGGGTCCGGAGTCCCCGAAGACGGCGGTGCGGCGGGGCTGCGCGCGCGCTCCAGGCGAGGGGGCAGTGGGAGGCTCCCCGCGTTCCCCTTTAACCCGAGCGACGCCCTGTTTGCGTCGCGGCCTTTGGGTGTGTCCCAGGGTTAGCATGTACGGGAGGGCGGGGCTCCGAGAGTCGAGGGGGCCGAGGGAGGGAGAGAGGGAGGAAAGAGGGAGGGAGGGAGGGCCGGCGGGGATACCTACCAGGTCCTAAGTGCTCCAAGGGAAAAAAAACGATCTGGGCAAAACTGCCACGACTGACTTTTGCTCACTAACTGGAGATTCCCACCCCCACTCCTGCCCACTCCAGCTTTCTCCCTTCCCTCTCCCTCCCTCTCCCCATCTCCCCCCCCTCCTCCTTCCTCCCTCCTTGGCCCTGGCACACCCACTCAAGCAGGGCCAGAGGATTCCCCCTCTACCTAAAGGAGTAAAACCTGCCAGATGTGGTCCCGCGGGATGTGGGCGCGGTGCTGAGCTTCGGGGCGCCCATGCGGAGAGGTTGAGTCTGAGTGAGTTCCCTCTCGGGAGTCCTGGCTCACTTGCCCTGGGCTGGCATCTTAGCTGGCGATGCCTGCACCACCCCAATATCAATGCCTGTACCAAGCAAGAGTGCAGGCTTCCTAGAGTTACAGTGGACCAAGCTAACAGGTTCTGCTTGCAGGAGAATGAGAGGCAGCGGAAGGGAGAGTCAAGCCGACTAAGGAACAGCTATCTCCCGGATCTGGCTCCTCCTAGCCAAAGCAAAAGCAGACTACATCAGAATGGGTTCCAGGCAGAGTTTGCCTAAGGCAGCCTGGCTTGGCTCCCAGCCTTGGCTAGTATCCTGGCCCATGGAAGAGAGGGTAAGAAGGGAAGTGGTCATTTGAGGTGGGGGGTGAAGAGCAGCCAGGGAAATCAGCTGATTCATAGTTCTGAGTGTGATGTGCCCTGCATCTCAGAAATTGGCTAGACCACAGCCCTTCCTGGCTGGGCACAGCTGAGCTCAAGCTGGTTGCAGGAAAGCCAGCCTGATGTGCACAGCTGGGAACAGGAATGTGAGTGTGTGGATCTTAAAATGTCCCTGTCCATTAACGGTAGCAGTACACACACACATTCCCCACCTGCCAGTGTACTGTCTCATCAAACCCTTCCATCCTAACTGACCACAAACATTTCATATTACTTCACTGATGAAAGGTAGCTGCTATTTTAACAGATTCTTAATCTTTAAGTAAAAAAAAATATCAGAGTAAGAAAAATCTTCAAATAGTAGCCTTTTCAAAACTCTCACTGGATTAAAAAGAAACTCGTGAGATCAGCAATCACTGTCTGGTATATGGCAGGTGCTTTACCAGGACCTGACCCCCCTGCATGGAGTAAGATGTGGTGGAATGCTTAGCTGCTCTGGCTCCTGGTTAGGGGTTCGGCTTTGTGCTCAGGCACACTAGATCACCCTGCGTATTACTGTGGTGATTTGGGGGGCACTTTCTGAAGTTCATTGGGCTTCGGTTTTGTCATCACCAAAGAGGACCCTGCAAAGGGTTAGAGCCCTACTTTAAGGAGACAACACCTGCATAGCAGTTAACATGGCATCTGGAAGAAAACAAGAGCTCTGAGGTGTGGTAGTGCATGTTTGTAATCCCAACTGCTCAGGAGTCAAGAGATAGGAAGGTGGTGGTTAGAAGTGCACCTGGGCAAGAAAGACCTAAATGAAAAACAAACTGAAAGCAAAAGGACTTTGTGTGTGTGTGTGAGAGAGAGAGAGAGAGAGAGACAGAGATAGAGAGACAGAGAGAGACAGAGAGCTGCCTAGCAAGTGTAAGGCTCTGAGTTCAACCTCCAGTAATGCCAAAAATAAATTAACAAATAGCTAGTCCCCAAACTGTCACCATTGGGATTAAACTTTTCCATCTAAGCCCTCACAACAAGCCCTCAAGATAGACCTGGCCACCTCAGTGCTAAAACAGCTTATAATTAGTGATTTAGCTGCATAGCAGCACATACCAGGAGACTGACTAAAGAAAAGGAAATGCTTTCTCTGATTGTGTGGGTCACTGTACAGGTCAAATATGTCCTAGAAATTATTGCCTAGTTTTATGCCATTCTAATTTACTTAGGCAGTCAATAGTTATGTACCCAAAACAGTTTACTGTTTGAAGCATTTCCCAAATAGTAGCATATTTAATCCAGATTTTTTTCCCTTTCTGTTTTTGTTGCTGTTTGTTTTGTTGGTTTGACTGGTTTGGGGGGAGAGAGAGGGGATCCATTACTGGGGTTTGAACTCAGGGCCTCAAGCTCTTCCTTGGCTTTTTCACCCAAGTCTGACACTCGACGGCTTGAGCCACACCTCCACTTGCTAAGTTTTGCTGGTTAATTGAAGAGAAGAGACTCTAGGATTTGTCTTCCAGGGCTGACTTCCAACCAGGATCCTCAGATCTCAACTTCTTGAGTGATTTAAGCTAGGATTCTAGGCATGAGCCACCAGGGCCTGGCACTCCCTTTCTATTTTCCAACTTAACTTTTTTTTTTTTAATGAAATGTCATCTAAATCTAAGTACTTATAGAACCTGGGGCTTCTTTTGGTTGGGGGTAGGGAGAGAAACACAATATTTTAAGCAATCATCGCCCAACTTGGAACCACACTGGACATTGCCAGAGAGGTGACCCCCCTCCATCCCTCCCCACTGCCTTTTATTTCCCAGTGGCAGAGAAGGAAGAATGCCAAGCAGCTTTGGCCACACCCAGAGGCCACAGGTGGAAGTAGCACCCTTACCTGCTAACCAGAATCCCTCCAGCTGGGCTCACATCACTGTTTCTCATGGCAGAAGCTCCTAGACCTCTTCCTCCCTTCCACTCAGACATCACCCTGCCTCTCCAGCCAGAGTGTAATATCGTCTTAAACAGATGTGCAAAGTCTTCTGATTCTCTCATCCATCCCAACACACGCACAGCACCTCCCCTGTGGTCCTTTCCATTTGCGGTTTGCACGGTGTGGAGAACAGGCAGCTCTCTATAACACACACACACACACACACACACACTCACCACCCAGAGACATAATTTGCCAATAAAACTCACCAGGCCAAACAGCGTAACCCCTTCCTCCACACGGATATCTTTGCAGCCAAATATGAAGGATGGTGAAGGCCAAGCCCTCCCCAAGGGCAGCAGGAGACCCACCGCCAGCAGACTGGAAACCCTTCTGCTTCCAACCAGGCTCCCCCAGACAGCTGTTCCCTTATTGTGACTTCTTGTAACTGAAGCCAGACTAGGCGTCTTTCCAGTTTATTCAGGGGCTGGTCCAATGCTGGGATATGTCATGGTGGCCTGAGACGTTCTCATCCTCTACTATTTAAAGAGACAGTGTGCAGCTTTATATACTTTCCATGATCTCATGATTTCCCAGTTGGTGCCTGCAGGGAAGGGAGAGCCTGGAATTCATTGGGCAAAGAGGTTTGGTTGTATGGGAAACCCAGGAGGCCCAGGGTGGTTCTCTCTGGAAAGGCCAGGCTACGTCCTTAGCAAAGGGACCCACCTATTCACAACTCTCCCCTCAATCCCCAGTGAGTCCTACAGGAAGTGTGTCTGCCCCTGTGAAGAGGCTGGGTGCTACTGTGTGCAGGTATTTTAAATCATCCACATGATTTGATGTTTGGAGCTTTTACAGAGCTCCAGATGGCCTTTCTGTGAGTATTACCCTAGGGAATCAAATGTCCCAAAGGCATCAACTGAAGTCCACATGGCTCTGATGCTGATTGGCAAGGGTCTCTGTGAGCTGGATTGTCTATCTCACCCTATGTCCTCAACATACCACAGGGATACAATGAAACCTGAGATGTGACTTCCGGTTCTGTCTTTCACAGACCCTCCATCAAGTCCCTATTAAATATTGATTTCCAAGAGACGATTTGAGTAAACAAATCTCTACCCAAACCATTCCAACCTGTCAAGCAGGATAGGCTGGGAGAGCAATTGGAAACGTTGTGGTCAGGTTGGTTCACCGCATTCTTCAGTTCTTTGCAGATTCTATCCACCCTTCCAAGGCCTAAAAAGAGCCCCCATGCCCAGAGATTGCTCCCAAGTGAATGCCCTAAGACAAAGAAGATGTGGCATCATCCATTAGGTTTCTTGGAATCTTGCAATTTGTTCCCACCTCTGACATCAAGAATACCTAGGCCAAAGGAAATGCACAGAATTTAGGGAAGTCTCTCTGTCTTGTTAAACTTCATAATCAGGAGTTGTTCTCTCCTCTCTCAGGAGGCTGAGATCTGAGGATCACAGTTTGAAAACAGTCTGGGCAGGGAAGTTTGCGATACTTTTATCTCCAGTGAACCACCAAAAAGCCAGAAGTGGGGATGTGGTTCAAGTGTTAGAACACCAGCCTTAAGCAAAAAAAAAAAAAAAAAGAAGGGACAGTGCCCAGGTCCTGAGTTCAAGCACCAGTACTGGCACACGCACATGTGTGTGCATGTGTGCGCATGCATGTGCTTACACACACACACACACATACACACAAGTTTTGGTGGCTCTCTCTGATTATTGTTCTTACAATTAGTCCAAATGGACTAATTTTGCCTTTCTTCTTTTCCTTTGCTATTTTCTACCTTTCCCAGCAGCGAGTGTTCATTAGATCCATCCAGGAGCCACTGCCCTAGCAGGGTCTCAGCCCAGCGATGCTGACGGGGTGGTCAGGGATGGGACTCGGGTGAGGGCAAACTGTGATCACAGCACCTTCCCTGGAAGGCCCCATTGTCCAGTCAGGATGTCTGGAGTTTGTATGTCTTCCTGTTTGCTATCCAGCTCCCTTTTGTGATGGAACTCAAATGGAGCCATGGCTCAGAGTGGCCTGCAATGTTATTTCAGCCTTGCCAGGTGAAATAAGGGAGAGGGGGCCAGACAGAAAGGAGCCCCCAGGATGACTCCCCTGACAGTCCATTCAGACTGATGGAGCCAAGTAAGCACCATGTCCGCAGACAGCTCCCTTCAGGGGTATGCCTGTGCAACTCTGCATGATCTGGCTGCTCTCCTCAGGCCTGGACGAAGTGGACACACTTGAGACTGTTCCTGATGCAGGAGTTGAGAATTAGGAGGTGGAAGAATGAAGCA